CAACATTACCTGCTTCCTCCTATTAAAAGTAACATGAAAATAATTCTGCTTGAAGACCTGATTTAGGAAATGGAGGCTTAACTGACACAAGCATCAAGAGCCCTTTACAGAAGTGTTCATAGAGAGTGCACCTTTGCTGCCAAACACTAATCACAAGAATGTAAAAGGAATTTCAAATATTGCCTGCTTTCTTTGTTGTTTTTAATGCAATCGCCTTTTCTTATTTCTCACCCCTTCCCCTAGAAGACTTAAAATATCCTAGCTTGGTCTACATCAAAAGCCAACAAATATTCCTGCACTGCCAGTTATCTCAACCACATACAATCTTTCCTCTTTCTTACTGTAATTTACTCCTGAGCAGGGATTCTTTTGCCTCCCACATTAAAATACTCCAGCTGGGATCACAGTATTTAACAAAACTAATCCGTAGTGTGGTAAATTAAACTACAACAACCCACAACCTAGCTAAGAGAGGCAATTTAGTGCAAATATCATTCCATTATAAAAACTTTGTTAGAAAGGCAAGGAAAAGAAAACAACAAAAATTTACCAGGAAGGTAATGGAATATGATATTGTTTCCTATTTTTAAGCTATTCTTTTAAAATCTCACAGCTACCAGTTTCACTGGAATACATTGCAGATTAATCGTTCGAGACATATATCTCACTAGATTTGTCACAGCAATAAAATCCTGCTCTAAAGAACATGCTCTGAGAAAACACAGGGTAGAGCCCTGTCAGTCTTAGTGAGCAATAACTTCTCCATCAGCGGTCAATTATTAGGCTATTACTAGTGACAAAAATTGGTGAGATGTGCTACAAACTAGAGAGCTGAGTGACTTTGCCCAGGAGAAATTGTGACCTCAGAGGTCGGCAGATAATGTTCATTTTTCCCTGCCCCGGGCTTTCAGGTCTCATATTTTCCGTTCTTTCCCTGGGGAGTCAGGAGAAATGGTGATTGCAGATACCAATTCCTTGCACTTCCCATGGAAATAAATCACCCCTTCCCACATGTGCAGTGGAAAAGGAAGCCTAATTATCCACCGCTCAGTTAAAACAAAGACACTCGCTGCACAGAAAGCTAGGGTGCTACCAACCAAAAAGCAACTGTACTGTGTTGTATTTTTTCTGCCTTATTCTTTCCAGTTGGATATGGAATTACTCCATTTTTTTGCATTTTTTTCCCCTCAAATTTTGCTATGCATTGTAATCTCAGGCTTCTATCCTTCTTTCTCCTGATGACACCCCATTTTTGTACAGCCACAAGTCATACAACACAGGTATTAAACACAGCTTTTCTTTCTACTCCACTCTGTTGCCACCTTACATATTCACAGGTGACTGTTTAGGAGATGTGTATCACTTGTCAAAGCTCCCATGAGGTCACAGAAAATTACAGTACAATTTTTAACATTTGCACAGGTGAGTCAAAACAATCTGTCTGGTACAACCAGTGACCAACTGTTGCCGCCAACATGAGGGCAAAAAACAGAAAGAAAGAAGCGATCCAAAGTGTAAGAAAATGCTGAACATTAATGAAACACAAAAAATTTTGACTTGACTCTCACATTAAGAATCTCAAATGAACCCAACTGGCCACTTCTTAACCTGTTTATATCTCAGCATGAATGAGTCATTATGAAAAACTTTCTAAACACTGCATTCCATAAATTTATTATGGCAGAAATGGGATTACTACTCCTGTACAAAGACACCACATCAACTCACTGACATACCAGTGATCATAGTGCTTTGTCACGCTATGCAAGGCTATGCAACTTCTCTCTGATTGCATTAAATAAATACACTTCATGAACAAAAAAGCAACACGTCAACCTGAACTCTGGAATATATGTTTTTTTTAAAAAAGGAGGCAATTGTGGTGTAAACTTTATACCCCCTCTGGATCATGGAAGGTTGTGGTATCATTTTCACTAGAATCCAAATTTCACTTGGTTAAATGTTTAAGAGAAAGAATTACTTATTGTGAGACAGTAATACTGATATTTATGTGCAACCCCCTGAGAATGCTAAGTTCAAGGACAAATCTGTTTTCGCTACCTGAATCACTGGTGGTGGCAAACCACATTTTAAACAAAACTTGCATTAAGACTTTTTAAACACAAGAACCTCAAGTAATAAATTAAACAAATGCTGAGCAACAATCCCAAGGGGATTCCTGGCACACCACAGGCTCTGAGTACTTTTGAAGGGGTGGAAGGTTATCAAAAGAAAGACAAGTCCAGTTTATTATGGTATTGGAATATAAAGCTAAGAGCTTTCCTTTCAAATACATTATATACACCTATGAAGACTGTAAAACCTTTTGAAGGTACAGAAAGAGATGTGTATGAAAATAAGAAAACCTCAAATTTATCATTAATAAGCAAAAACTATGCAGCTGATATTAACTACAATTACATGTGCGACTAACTTTAACCAGACTCTTGAGTTGAGAACACACATTGAGCGTGAGGACCTTAACAATCATATTTTAAGAAAAATTACATCCTCTCATTGACGTCTTCTGATAGAGAATGTAATGGCAATGCAGATGGCACAAAACACCCCAGGCAACTCCCAGCACTTCCAAATACCCAGTCAGCAATATAAATATGATTTTTTTACTTCTTATGGATGCTTCTGAGGACTCCTAGATATATGGCGAAAACCTTTAGCTCTTTAGAAGCGCAGCATCCATATGTAAAAAGGTATTTAAATTACTGGTGGTAAAGACCCTGTCAAATTCAACGTGGAAATGACTGGATCTCAATATTTCAGCAAAACCAAACATACTGAGGTTAAGGGAAAGCATCTCTTTCCTTCAGTCTAAATATAGCTCTGATTCTGACAGTCACTCAGTTTTATTAGTCAAGCATGAAGTATTAAGTCAGCAAATATAAAATTTCAATTAAAAAAAAGAAAAGCACAGTAACAGCAACACCAAGTTTACAAAACTAGACAAACATATGACATTGAATCTTTTGTCAAGAAAACTAAGTTGGAGTCACAGAGCTTGGTGTAAACTTTTCTTTATAGAAAAAATATTTCTTTATACAAAAAGGCAAGCAAATAATACCTGTTATTTCTCAGTCAATTGAATTTAAAGTATTTCTTAACACTTGTTTCTCAGAATCACAAAGCATTTTTTCTGTAATAACATTTTTATTGCTTCTACTCTTATTCTCAAGAGAATCCAGCATATTTGCATTCAGAATAAGGTTTTTCTATATATAAGATGCTTTCCCTCATCCACTTCTGTGATTATACGTATCCTCAACAGTGTGTACACGTTCGATAGCAAAGAATTTATAAACACTATACATCAGCTGAACGGATTACATTTTGAAACATATAGAATACCTTAAGGAAATTTTGAGTCTTTTCCAGTAAACCCTTGCACCTTGGACACCCATTTGTGAATGAGGACCGTAAATCTAGATCCTTTATTAGTTAGAAATAACAGACAGAAAAAAAGGTTTTGCTTTTCTTACATCTTTAAATAAAACCAATTTTGATAAACTAAAGCAGAAACATAGATTTTTACTTGTGGAAACAAAGTAATAGTTGCAAGTTGTACCAGAGTAGGAAGCTTTTTCCTGATCTGCTTTTGGTTCAGTTATAGAGACACAAGGTGTTCTGTATCCAATGACTATGTTTAATTTATGCAATGATACATATTAAAAAAGAGATCTTCAGTAGGTACTATCTTCTTTCAAATAGGTTCCAATAATTTCAAAGTGAAATTATTATAGCAACATCCAATTATTTTTAAGTTTCAGCCTGACAGCCCATACACTTAAGCCTCTACACTGAATGCATATTCTACATAGCTAATAGTGTTATTCATATGCAGTCCCCTGAGAGATTTGGTAATGCATCAATAAGCATGATTTCTAACTGTGGATTGGGACTGTTCTTATTAATTTTTCTCCTCTAAGTATGAAATGTAAATTATGAAAAGCAGAATTTGCATCTTAACTTGACTTACATATTATCTCTGCTTTGCACCTTAGGAAACTGCCAGATATTAAGTTGCAGTTAAAGCTTCAGCAGTACCATTACAGTTCATTGGAATCAGAATAATTTTATTTCTTAACTCAATCATGTTTTGAACTGTAAGAACCATTCATTGTCACATTTTAAATAATGTGTAAATTGCAATCCATAGTTTGACTGTTACCAACTATAAGTAACATCTGTCTGCATTTCCCTTCATTGGATATCTTGGATTTGAAAAAAAAAAATCTGCTAGAGAGCTGGATGAACCTCAGTTTCTACTTTATCCTAAAGAACATCTTTATCTCAGCAAATAATGAAACAGTTCATTTAGCAAACCCTGTTCCATAAATCCTAGTTCAGTTGCTGATCTCATGTCTATACTACTTTCACTAAGCTTAACATTATCCAAAGCATATTTCCAAGTTTCATTAAAAATGTTGATTTAGTTCTTGAATAAATTTTCTCAGTAATACTAGATGTCTCTGCAGATAAATACAATTCAACTCCTTTTCCTGCCACTGCACCCACACACAAAGCATGAGAAAGGCAGCACTCCTTTTGCTCTAATTCCATCTTAAACAAATCTTTATTTGCATTCTTCTCAGTATTCATGGTCATATCTAAGAATATATTTTGATTCCAAAGGACTAGAGTATTGCTACATAACTAGACTCAACATCCATAAATCTAAAGTATTTGTGGAGATGGAATCCTTTCATCTCTCATGACTCAATATTTACTTTAGATGCTTTTAACTTTAAGCAAAACCGGTATTTTCTTACCATGCTTTAAACTCTTAGGAGAAATTAACAAAAGTGAAGCTGTAAGTTCTGCTATGTGATAACAATGCCTGGGTTGAAACACTGCATTTCCAAAACAGTATGAATGCTGGAAAGAAAAGAAAAACTTGCATGGTCTCCTTCAGTAAAGAGGTGTTTCTTCTTCTGATTTAGGATCTTGTATCAATCGACTTACAATGCAACAGTAGAAAGACACTATTACGCTCTTGACTTTTCATTTGTAACTGGCCTTTCATTGCCTGGCAAATATGAAACAAGCACTGATGATGTCATCAAGATTTGCAAAAGGAAAATAATTATAAATAAGTTTTAATTTCTTAAAAGCAGGAACCAAGTGATATGATTTTATGTGATAGCACCCTGAAGTATTTACATTATGAGTAAAGAATCCAATCTTTCTGCAGGTCTGTGAAGGAGAGCTCAGAAATAAGAATTCATTTGTGTATTTGCAAATGTGATCACAATCTGTCATTTGATCCTCTTGCCAAACAGAAAAGCATGACATGCTTTCAAGGGCTGTACATCCTCCATGTTTGCGATGGAGCCTTTCCAAAGGTGAACGATTCAGAGGTTGACTTCCTCACCTCCTCCCTGTCGCCGCAGCAGGCTGGGGTGGTTTGATCAGATTAGTGACACGATACTGGAAAGCATTTTGGGCAGGAGCCCAGTGAACCATCAGTTTAAGATCTCACTGTGTAGGATCTAGAATTTTGCCAGTACAAAATACCAAAGAGGTTTCATAAAAAGGAACATCTATATTTTTGAACTGGGTTATAACACTAATTCTACACCTCCCTAAGAGATGTACAAGTCAGACTGAAGAGAAGTGAAAATTATTAGCCAAGCAAATTGACTGAAAGGTTGATTAGCAGTTCACAAATGACTTGATATGAAGTTCAAAACCCAAGAACTAAGCAGGGACACAGAAGAATAATCAGCAAAATGGAAATTATTACAGTTCAGGTTTTTGCAATGTTCCACATAAGTGGGGAAATCTACTGTCTTCTTATCTAATTGGAGAATTAGCACTGCCACTGTATTTTTAACTAAAGAAGGCATTAAAGATCATGTTTCACCATCAAGCTATGTTGCAATGATTTCTCAATTCACCATGGGATCATAGAGAAACACAGATCTTTCAGTGTCAGATGCACTTTCACAGTACTGGAAGGGATGACACGCTGAGCAATGCTGTGACCTGTAGTGCAAAGCTGTTGTTTACACCATCAATACACACTCAATTGAAAAAGAAAAACTGGGGTGGAGAGTGATGGAATTGATGTTCATATGGTAAGCCTCAAAATACGATCAATTATGTTATAGCAAAGAAGAGCCACTCCTGAGATTTAGCTCTGACTTCATTTTGTAAGCATTAGAAATGCCTTGCACAGTAGGAAAAACATAAAGTTGCTTTGTTTTTTCTAAAATTTACCATACATAAAGGAATTAAAACAAAAATATCAATATTCTCTTAGGCCTTCCTCTACATACGGGACTCAGATATTCATATGCTGAAGATTACTCAGCCCAAGGCCTTTACATTATTTTTTGCAATTATTTGCCTCTGTAGGTTTTCCTCCCACAATCTAAACTAAAAACAGTGAAATTGTATTTCAGGCAAAGACAGCCAGACACCCAAAATCAGACAATGAGAAAAGGGCATTGTTCACTGCAATATACTAGACTCTAAAAGAACAGAAGAGCAGAAGTTGGCACTTTCACAGACCATTTTTAAAAAATACAGGTTTTTTTTACTAATAAAACAAGATTGCAAATTTAAACATTCCTAGCTGGCATCAAGCCACAGCATCCTACATCAAGATAAGATAATTCTCTTGCTGATATAAGCAGAAATCTTTGCTAATAATGGGAAATATCTTTGTGGTCTACTTGTGTCTCTGTCCATTTAAACAGTTTTTTATCCATTAGGTGTTACAGATAAAAAGGGAAATCAAGCATTTTCAAACCTTACTTAATATAGTTCTTAAAAGAAGGATCAGGTTTTGAAGAAAATATCACTGATCATATTGCAGCTCTGAGGTAATTCTATGCATAGGTAAGCACCTCTCATAGCATGTGAAAATATTTCCAAAAGTCAAGTGACTTAAGAAGAAAAAGACTTTTATAAAGCGTTATATATTCTGACCCCCTTGTGTCTATAAGTGAATTCACTTTCCTCCTCACTGATCATATTTTCAAAAGAAGTCTATTCTGGTCTATTAAAAATGGTATTAAAATGGTATTATGGTGTATTAAAAATTTTCACTGACTTTACAAGGACAGAATCACAGGATGGTGAGGTTAGAAGGGACTTCTGGAGATGGAGTAGCACAACCTCCCTTGAGAAACAGAGCAGGTTTTCCAGGACCATGCCCAGTCAGGGTTTGAATACTCAGATGGAGACTCGGCTACCTCTCTGGGCAACCTGCTCCTGTGCTGGAGTCCCCTCACTGTGAAAAAAGACACTCATAACAGTACTACTTTCTGTGACACAGCTGTAGCTGTCTGTCTTAGTTTGAGACTTGCTCTAAGTGCATCCTTCTTTGCCTGAAAGGTTATATGGTGACCTTCAGAACACCATTTTAGTAGGCTTATTTGCTTAAAGTTATCAAAGTCAATTAAAGAAAACAAACTTACAATTGTCACTTTAGAGGTGTCTTAAAATCAGTAAGTCATTAGGCCTGACGATTTAATCATTCACATCTATTCAAAGTTCAGTAAAATTACTGTAAATGACTGCACAGAATGCAACAAAACAGCCTGAAATATGAATAAGAAATATGCATATGAAAACATGAAAAAAACCCAAACCACAAAATCCCCTGACATCTGTAGATATAAAAAACATTTCAAAACATTTGAAAAATGCTTACTTTTCCTTGGCTGGCAGTTCTGTCTCATAAGTAGCTATCTTAGCTGCTGTCCCAGCAGACTTTGCTGTCCTTTGTCTTCGTTTTCTTCTCAGAGCAGTATCAATGACATCAGGGCTACCCAGAAGGGAATCTCTTCGTTCTGATGCTGCCAAAAAGAAAAAGGCCAAAGCTGAGAAAAACTTAAGTGTGAAGTATTACAAGACAATTCTGAAATTATTTTTTGTTTATATTTATTGACATCTCCATACTGCTGTGTTCAGATTTGACAACAAAACAGATGACATAAAGTGAAATTCAAAAAGACCAAAGTTAAACTGGAAAGACAAGCTTCACTTTACAACCTTTGTAGTCAATGGAGAGAATGATGGGCAGTTATAAACCAGAAATATAATGACCGTCTCCTTATTCTTCCTTGTAGTATCTAAAGGAACTACAGAGGTAGCCTACAGAGCCCAGTTTCACTTACCCAAAATTAGTTCTTTGTTACCTACAGAAAAACTGAGAGACATGTGCATGTGGCACAGGGAAAGGAGCTTGAGAGTTCTGCTTACTCTATGGCTTTGTTAAGACTTCTGGTCTGCAGTATGCACAGCAATACACAAGTACACACACAAAAAATAATTCAATATTTATTAGGATAAATCCTTGAGAGAAGCTTATTGCTGTGATCGTGCACTGTATTTTGTAACGTACTAGTCATTTTGCTATCACAGACCTGCAGGCAGTAAATCCTCACAGATTCTGCTGGAGACTCCCTGAAGATGCAGAAAGACTGACGGACTACCTGATGTCAGTAAGGCAAGAAACCACCCATCTGGAACAAACCAATGCATAAAAAGCAGTACTACTTGCTTACTGCTCTACCTGCGGAACAGATGGTCCTAGTTTAGACTGAAACTCTCAAAGTGATAAAGAGAGACTGCAGTCCGAAAGAAAAAAACCTCGCGATGTAAAACTGGGGATAAGCTGTCCAGGTTTTCACTGATTCCTCTGCTGAAGGCAAGAAAAGTAGGCTTTGTCCAGGTTCGTTTACCTATGATTTTAATTTTGATCCTTAATGCATAAACTATGATATCACATAGGGTTAACATGTATATTACCAGGTAAATTTATAAAAACACATTGCCTACACTTAAAAACCCCAATCCTTCTCTGTGCTTTGACAGTTATCTACCTGAAGCTCAAATGTCAAGAGAATTAGATCCTTCCTTAAACTAAAACCCTCCCTTTCCTTGCTATTAGTGCACTCCGTAAATATGTAGACATTTATACTCCAGCTATCAACATCCTATAGATTGCTTTAAAAATAAAATCTTTAATTACTTTGAATTTTCAGGATAATGATATCCAGAATAGCACACATTTCACCTGAAATATATTAAATAATAATGCGGTGACTGAAGCTAATGCTATTACGGTAACTTCCCTCAATATTACTTTCTGTGTGTTTTAGGAAGGTTTAATCTTCACATGGATGAAAGACACCATAATTTTAGATATGAGTCCTATTTCTTCATGCCTTTCACTGTTGTTATTCACATCTCCTGAAAATGAATCTGACAGAAAACATGCAACCCACAAGTAACATTTTCACTCTTTCTCAAAAAAATGTTGCCTAGATGGCCAAGAAGGCCAATGGCATCCTGGCTTGTATCAGAAATAGTGTGGCCAGCAGCAGCAGGGCAGGGATTGTCCTGTACTTGGCACTGGTGAAGCTGCATCTCAAACCCTGTGTTCAGTTTTGGGCCCCACATTACGAAAAGGACATTGAGGTGCTGAAGCGGGCCTAGAGAAGGGCAACAGGGCTCATGAAATGTCTGGAACACAAGTCCTATGAGGAGCGGCTGAAGGAACTGGGCTTGTTTAGACTGGAGAAAAAGAGGCCGAGGGGAGACCTTAATTCTCTCTTAACTAAGGAGGTTGGAGATAGGAGGGTGTCATCCTTTTCTCCCTAGCAGCAAGTGATAAGACTAGAGGAAATGGCTGCAAGTTGTGCCATGGGAGTTTTAGGCTGGAGACTGGGAAGAAATTCTTCACTGAAAGGGTCATTCAGCATTGGAAGAGGCTGCCCAGGGCAGTGGTGGAGTCACCATTCCTGGAGGTGTTTAAAAGCCATGTAGATGAGGTGCTTAGGGACATGGTTTAGTGGTGACGTGGCAGTTCTAGAACCAAACAAATCTGAATACTTTTACTGCCGTAACTCTGATCCCTCCTTGTTGCTATTCTCCTCCCAAAAAGCAGATTCAGAGGTTAGCTGCATATACGTTACCTAAAAAATGCAGATGCTGAAAAAAATAATGTCTCTGTGCTTTTACTTGTGTAATATGCAATGGTACTCATGGTCCTCATGCTCAGCATAATTTATTGTTTAGACACAAACCCTGCTTGTCTTCTACAACAGCCCCAATAGTGTCTGAGTGAGAAAAATGGAAGGGAAATGTTCACCTTTCTATTTCACAGAAAACGGTTGAGCAACATAGGCTTGGGGTTTTTTTTTGTTTGGTTTATTTGCTTCTTTTAGGTTAGAACTGATAACGAAAACACAGTATACACTTGAAGTTCAAAGTATCATGCATCATCGTCAAACACACACCCACTACTGCTGTCCAAAAGTAATTCCCATTAATGAACTTATTTTTAGCAGTTGAGTAAAAGCCAAAGAAAGCTTCAGCAAAATATTATTCACTGCTGACACAAAATCATTTGAAAAAATGAGAGACAGTCTTGAACATAAATCAACTTTTTCATTCTGAAAATCTTTCCTCTCTAAATTTATCACTATTTTAAGGAAGTAAAGTTCCTTGACTTCTTATGAAATTGAATTTCTTACTTTGATACTATGTAATACAATATGAACGATTGTTGTACTTTTGAGAAGAATAGTATCAATTAAAATGCAAGCAAGAGTATTGTTTAATGAAAGCCAGTTAATCAAACAACCTGGAAAATGAAATGTTCCAAACATATAACATGCCTTCTACAGCTGAATAACTACAAGAAACAAGATTGATAAGAGGGCAAAAAAGGGAATAATAGTTCAAGAACTAAAAGAATATTTGTGCTAAGAATATTAAAGACTTTAAATAAAAACTCTTGATGCATTTTTTTGTTGTTTGTTTTGGAGAGTGGCATTACTTAGTGGGTAGGGGAAGTTTTCAAGTAAGAAAGGATATGCTATCAAATAATTTAAACTGAAAACTAAATCCAGCTGTCATTGCTTTGGAAGATTCAGGAAGAAATTAAATCAATATAGTCCCATAACTCTGGGTGCCTGGAAACAGAAAATGCCTTTCATCTAGTATGGAAAAGTGCCTCTACCCTTTATGAAGACATTTGGTACCCAACACCTTGCACCCACAGAGAACAGCACTGCCTCTTCCAAGGTCTTTTCTGGCAGCAGTCTCTGACCAGTGAGTCTCTGTCCAGGCAACCACCTGGCTGAGCTGGCACAGAGCAAAACCATTGTGGAGAAGGTGTGAGCAATGAAAGGGGGCAGACAGCTCTACTCAGTTGCTAGCATCAATATCTGATCCTGGCATTGTTTAGTCTACTGACAGAGCATCATGATCTCTGAGAACTACAGACATTTTAAAATTAGTTTCTTGTAGCTTGGTTAAAGACAGCTAGTCCTGCTATATTCTAAAATAGAATTTTGCATTACTTTGTTTTTATATCAATAAATCAATTACTTAAAAATATCTTCAAACCTATCACATTCTCTTCTCAGTCTGAAAAAAGGCCTACCTACCTTCGACCTACTCTAGGTGATCCTGCTCTGAAAGGGAGGTTGGACTAGATCATCTTCCGAGGTCCCTTACAAGCCTTAACATTCAGTGGTCCTGTGATTCTCTGTGTATCATCACTTGTAACAAAAATCCTACAGTTTCGGCTTGTCTAATTGTTAATGACAGTGCTGTACTTACTGAAAAAACAGAATCCACCTCCTTAGTACAACCTCTACCCTCAGTAAAGGACTAAAAGCAGCACTAAAAGCTTAGCTTTGCCATAAGAAAATACACAGGGAACAAAGCAAGCAACAAATTATTAGAAGGACTCTAAGTGTAGAGAAGTCTGTTTGTTTACAATGACCTAACTTTACAGAGATAGAAAGCATACCCTCAAAGTCTGGTATCCTGAAAGGCGTACTGCAGGCAAGAAGAAAAAAGTAGTAGTTCATGAGATTTCACATATAGGACAGACAGTGACAGACATGCCTTCACTTTTGTTCACTCTGTTAGGATACATTTAAGATGTAACAAAGGATCAACAAACCTGAACATTGCTACTTAATTCCTATCACCTAAAACATCTCGTCAGAGATAGTATATTTGCTCAGGTAAACTATCCTGTGTAGGTCCAGATTAAAGCCATGGACTCTAATGATATATTGCTACTAATGCAATATGGGCGAAAGCAGAGCTTGGATGTTGTTTTTTGTACTTAAAAGAATAAATCACTGTTCTCATCTGCTTATATTTCTATCCTATTGGTAACTTCCAAGTGTATCACGTTTTTTGTTATCTTAAATAGTGGTAATTTGTTTCCTTTGATAAAAATATCTTTTTCTCTCCCAATGTTTGTATTCCTTTGATAAAAATATCTTTTGATAAAAATATCTTTTTCTCTCTCAATGTTTGTATTTCTCAGCATGCTAAATTACATTAGAATGGAATGTGTCCTTTGCAAATGTAGCCCTACAGCCAGAGACCTTATGGAATTAATCCCACTGCTTATAATGCACAGGATTGATTCTAGGTAAACCAGTCACTCCAGGAGAAGAGAATCTGCTATCAGATTTACAGCATTGAATTATCAGGACGTAACACAATAAAATTTTAAAACCAATCATCACTGTTAAATGAATTCACAAAACATTCACATCTCTGGTATTTACCACCAAATAAAACATAAATAGCATAGAAAACTTGCTTTGCTCACAGTAAAGAAATTGAAGTTATTTTGAAAAATTGCTTATTTTTGGATTGGAATGAAATAAGAAAGGTTTGTAATAGATATAGGCATTTATTCCAAAGGAAAGGACTAACCATTATCTCCTGTCCTGGAGATTTTATCCAGAGCAGCATGACAGCCTGTCAATTTTAATTACTGTTCTAAATGAAAATTATTATAATTATTTTCATCAGT